CCCTCACAAAGGCTCACGTCGCGTTTTCCTCTTGCTGCCACCAATGGATTACCTCAATCCACAATATAAATGACGTTTGTCAAGACACTTGTCTTGTGAATTCAAGCAGACCTTATTTATTGAAGTGAATCAGATTTAATAATAACAGAAGTTCTTCAGATAATCATTGTACACAAGCAAATCATTAACAGTACTCTCAGTACATACTTTTCTCCTACAATATCATTGCCACGTTCTCTACCTATTTTCTTAACTAGTCTTATCACTCTATATCTGTTCTGTCTCTCTCTCTCTGACTAACTAAACTCTGAGTCTGACTCCCCCCTAGATTGACTCAGGCTCCCTCTTTTAACCTCTTTTGGCTCCGCCTCTCCACCACATTAGCATAGTACATTAATGACTTCTTTGGCATAACAAGTGTGAACGCTACATGCGTCCCCCCTTAAATATATTTGTTTGGGAGGGAAAACATGTTTTACATCACAGACAAACATGCATCATTGCATAAAACTCTACTTACCCTCTGGCAACATTCTGCAAGCCAAAACAACAGTCTATATAACAATCACAATATCTTAATACACTAAACATTCCAATACAATTCAATAATATACTTTACCTTATCATTCATCCTTACTACATATAACATTTCAACCTTACAGAAACATACCATAATCAGGAAACTTTTACATAGATAATTAACCAGTTAATCAATAGTCCATTCCAGTTTGTTTTAGAAGTCCTTCCATCATTCTTCATGTCTAAGTCCATCAATATTCAGTTTTTCATCACTATTCAAAACCAGAACATTTATTATACATTACCAGTTTTGCTTATCCTCCCATCAGTCATTTGGTTTTTGAGACAAGATACCAGCATCCACACTCTGAGTCCCTCTGACGTTATGGATTACAAAGTCCAAGTCTTGCACACTCCCGCTGTCATCGGCTTGGCACCGCACCTCTCCAAGTCCAACGTTCAATGCATCTGTGAAGATGATGAACTCCCGGTTGTTGTCAGGTGTGCTGAGGACTGGTCTGGTCATTAACACCTTCTTCAGTTGGTCAAATGACTGCTGGAATTCAGGATCCATCTGATGATCTCTGGCTCCTTCTTCTGTGTACTCTTTGGTCGACTAGCAGTCATCGGGCCCTCTGATGTCCACTGGATGTCCTCTGCTTGCTGTTTCCTTGTGAAGCCTGCTTTCTTTCTGGCTCAGGGCTTCACCTTCTCAGCTGGGGAAAGAGTAAGCAGTTCCCTCTCGTCCTCCCGAACATCTCTGGATGAATCCTTCTTTGCGATCTTAGTGTGTCCGCCTTCCTCCTCACTCACAAATTCACCCACAGGTACTTTTATTGCAAAGTTATCCATATGTGGGGAACCACTATCACTGATCACGTTAAGATTCTCAGGCAAGTTTCTGTTAAGTACAATCTTAAACAATTGGTTTGTTTTAGATGAACTGAGTGTGTTATCTGATTCTATTTCTTCATTCATAGATAAGCTAGGTAGGGATTTGCCTTGCAAGGTTTTAAGGCAGCCTTTTCCAGCTGCAGAGCTAATAAACTCACTAGCGATCTAGTGCTGCAGCAACAAATCTATAGGTTCCAACCCTGCCACAAGCAATTTAATCCCCTTTATGGATGCTCTTTCCTGGGTCTCACTCAAGCCTTTCTCCTTTCCGAGAGTACCTCCCAAGCTTGGCTCTCCCACTTCTAAGGACTCCTCGCCATTAATCCAAGGACATATATTTCTTTGTGGGGTCCTCTATGAGGTGCCTTTAAACCCTCTCTATAGGTCAGGTCTTTATCAGTTAGAGACCTCTCTGGGTGTTCAGGGGTCAGTGGAATGGGACTCTCATTAGATGTTTTAATATAATCATTTGAAGTACTATTTTCCCTCTGCTCATCAATATAGAAAATATTATTAGGATTTTCCAGTTTGACCACCTCAGCCATCTCTGCTATCTCAGGGCCTTTCAAAAGAATAAGATCAGCTTTAGCATGACTACTAAGCTGGCTATCCAAAGAACTTTCTCCCTCCAGGCTTCCTTCTGCTACAGTATCTATTTGTACTGCAGTGGGTGATTCCTGGCCCCCTGGTAAGCGTGTTAATGCAAAAGCACTCTTAACATGCTCTATCAAGTCCCAACCAATTAGAAAAGCAGCCAGTATTTCATCTGAAATGGCCACTTGCCACTTTCCAGACCAATTCCTATAAGTTATTTGAACCTCTGCCACTTTCAACACCACAGTTTCCTTCCCAATTCCTTTTAGGGTCATAGTTCTGCCTGGAATTATATAGTCCTGATCTATCAGGTCTCAATGTGTGATAGAAATTTGAGAACCTGTGTCCCTCAGAACAATGTACTTCTTTTCACCCACTACTATCTCTTCACCGGCATTTTTAACAAGAGATTTAAAAAAAAAAAAGGACTATAGGGGCTTCAGGTATCTCCTCAAGATTAGTAGCCTTGGTTGACATGGAGACAGAACTACCATTGTTACAGCCTCCCTCAGTGGATTCAACTGGTTTTAAATAGTACACTTTCTTGGTCTGATTATCATCTTTCCATTTTTATTTTTGGTTTTCATACAATTGAATTGTAAATGCCCAGACTTGCTGCATTTGTAACATTTGTAAGTCCTTCTCTCTGTGATGTACACCCCGTGTCCCTGTTTGTTTCCCTCAATCCAAGGGCCCGTGCTGGCAACCTTCGTTCTTTCTCTCCTGCTGCCACCAGTGGATTTCTTTTATCCACAGTGTAAAGAACTTTACTCTGAGAATTGCTGCCAACAAGTTAACTTGTTTTATTAAAGGGCATAAAAAGGTAACTCAGAATTAGCAATGGTCTTTATTCATTTCCATTAGATCATAATCACTGAAATATTATATTTTATGTTCCACATTAGATCACTTCTTGTTTACTTATTCCCAGTTTAATCAATTTATATTTATTAGTAAAAATTCTCTCTCTATCTATCTCTGTCTGTCTGTCTGTCTGTCTATCTATCTATCTATCTCTGCAAACCTCACTCTTCCTTCTCTCTAACCCTCCAACTGACTAACTGACAAACCTCTGCCTCCCCTGTCCTCTCATTGGCTTATGCACATGAGGTTCCACTGTGATTGACAGGAGCGACTTGGGCATCCGTCACACTCTCATTCTGTGGAGATCTGTTAAACTTTTCCTCAAGGTTCATTTGGTTCTGAGAACTAGGCCGTGCTAATTTAGATGAAGTACTACCCTGGCCTTCTTTCCCTGATGCTTTGCTGAGGTAATTTTTATTAAAGGGATTCTTATTGTTGTCCCAGTTCTGCTTGTTAAATTTTTACCTCAGAGAACTTGTGGTCTTGAATCTCCCCAATGTAATCAGTTGCTTCACCTGCTTCTAATAGATATTTAGGATTTATGTCTTTAACTAAATAACGCAATTCCCCAAGCAAAATAAAATAAAATTGATTTTAAATCTGCTCTAGAGAAGTGACATTTTTACATTCCATCCATTTGTCCAAACATTGCAGCAGTTTAGCCCCTAACTGAGAATAAGATTCTTCAGGCTTTTTAGTAAGGGAATGAAATTTTCTTCCAAGGTGTTCTGCATTTATGCCAAATCTAGCATATACCATCTTTCTATGTACTTCAAAATCTCTAGCCTGCTCAAGAGGCATCTGAGAATAAAACTCAGCTAAATCCCCACTTATTTGTGATCTTAGCACTATCATCCTTTCATCATCCTTAATTTCAAAGTCCCAGCATGCCCTTTCAAATGATATCAGAAAAGATTCAGGGAAACCTCCTTTCCTATATTGGGGAAATTTATTTAGGTTGATTTTTGAGAGATTTCCCTCACTAGCATTGTTGGCTATTATTATTATTACTATTAATGTCTTGAGTAGCGATTTCCAATCTTTTCATATCTATTTGAAATTCCCTTTCCCTTTGTCTATTTTCTTGCTCAAATGCCATTTGTCTGGCCTCTTGCTCAACTTTTTCTCTCATTTCCATTTCCCTGAGTGCTAGCTCCTTAGCTTTTCAGTTCTGGCCTTTTCCAATTCTAACTGGTTTTTCATATCTAGATCTTCAGCTCTGGCTTTTTCTCTAATTTCTAATTCCTTCAATTTAAATTCTTGTTGTATTTTCCATTTTTCAAACTCTAGGGAGCCTAGATCCCTTTGTCTCTCTGAGGCACCCTCATGAGTCTCCTCTTGTTCCACTGGAGCTAGAGGGTCTCCATCTCCCTCCACTTCCTGAGGTAAACTTTGTGCCTCTTGAGGATCAATTACCTCAATTACTGGCGTTTTAGTTCTTTTGGGTGGCATAAGTATGTACTTTTATTGATAAGAGCTGGTTTCTATTACTGTACTGAGTTAGTCACACCTCTTTTTAAAACACTTTTTTACTGCTGTTTTCCTTTTCCTAGTATTTTTCTGGGGTACTATGTAGCTCTCAATCGGCAGCTAAGGATGCTTACACTGTATCTGGCACCACACCAGCCACAATGTTTCTTGGTCTGAGACAACCTTCTTGCCTCCAGACACAAAATAAATTACATTTTCAAAGCCTCTGCTTTTTATTTGCTTATCCCCTCAGATCTGCTCTGACCCTGGCTTCCACTTTTTATCCACCAGTGCTCTCTTCTCTCAGAGCCTTGGATTTTAAGCTAGCCACTGGGTATCTCAAATCCTGAGGTAAATAAACAGGAATTTTCCCCTAGAGTCGTTCCCTATCTTCAGTCGCCCCAGATCTAGGATCAGAAGCCCCGCCACTAAGCTTTTCCACCAAAGCTCTAGCAAGTGACCTACATCTTCACCACAGACGTCTGACCAAAAGGTACCCTTGACCCAAAGAAAATTCACTTTCAATTTCTGGCTTTATTGGGTTATTTTGGATCCCGCCGCTGGACTACCAACTGTGGCATTCACCCTTTGTGGCACCTATGTGTTGTGCCCTCACAAAGGCTCACATCATATTTTCCTCTTCCTGCCAGTACTCTCAGTACATACTTTTCTCTTACAATATCATTGCCACCTTCTCTACCTATTTTCTAAACCAGCCTTATCACTCTGCATCTTGTTCCCTCTCTCTAACTAACTAAACTCTGACTCTGACTCTGACTCCTCCCTAGACTGACTCAGGCTCCCTCTTTTAACCTCTTTCATCTCTGCCTCTCCACCACATTAGCATAGTACATGAATAATACATGACTTATTTTGCATAACAAGGAGTAAACGCTACAATCACCTACATCCATTCTCTGAGACAGTGTGCATGTGGGCATATCCTGACCACTCTGAGGATGACACCTTCAGTGGATTGGTGGTGGAGAATGATGGTTCCACATTACTTCCTTCAAGTTCATACAACTAGAACTCACATCCTTTTATGTTTCTGAAGTAGATTTTATTAAAATATTAATTTCCCAGTTCAACACTATTTCACAATGCTGGCTGGCCAGATCTGCTCAATGGATGTTCAGAGAGAGAGAGAGAGCGAAAGCACACATACATAGGTACTTGCTCTCTCAGACATGCTGTCACATTCACTGGGTCCTTCAGACAGACAGAGAGAGAGAGAGAGAGAGAGAGAGAGAGAGAGAGAGAGAGAGAGAGAGACGGGGGAAATCTCGCACTATCCCAACCAACTCTCTTTCTGTCTAATTCAAAGCACTAAATAGTAACACTGGAGAAGAGGAGGAAAGGGAGAAGAGAGAAAAGGAAGAAGAAAATAAGAGAAGGGAGAAAGAGGAGTTATATTACAATATAAAAGCAAGAAGAGTTATTATGAAGAAACTGGTCATGCTTCCCACCAGCTTAGCACTGTTTTAGATCAGCACTATGTAACTTGCAATAGAAAACAAAAAGCCTAATTACATGAATGCTTGAGCTACAAAACTTATGTTGTGTTACATTTTTGGTAGTAAAGGGATGAAAGGCAAGCTTGTTCTCAGAGAGATCCCTGTGTAAATAAATCTTCTGTGGCCATGGAAGGAA